TCTTCTGAATCATATCATCGTTTGACACAATCATTCCAGGTCCTTCTGAGTCTTCTTCCAAAGATTTTGATTTCAGCATTTCACGTTGCAGCCTCACACCTAATAAAAACGAATGCAAAAGAACTTAGCCTTGTAAAATTGAGTAAAATAATCACAAGAATAAACCAGTTCTTCTGGCTCACTAACCATGTAACCCAGCATCAATGCTCTTAGAGAAATCTGAACAAGATGATATCTCGTCCTCAAATGTCTCCAAAACTGAAACTGGACTGAGCTGTGCCTCTGAGTTCACAACAGAATTAGATCTGCGATTGAGTAATGTGAAGAAACAGAACCCCTCTTCAGAGACCTCAATCAATTCACTCCCCTGCAATGTCATGATTCAAATAAGAGAGAATTTGAGAAAAAGTAATTGATACTTTTAAGCCATGGACTAGCCCCAAGCTGCAGCATTATAGAAGAAACACATTCAGTAAATAAGTGAGGAACAACTATTTTAGATCTTACAGAATATCCAATAACAAATATCCATATATTTTAGACTTAGTGAAACCTTTTATTTTCACCAATCTTACAATCCAACCATGGTTATACTCCCTGCACCCCAACCCACACTCTGAAATTAACTAGGATAATAACAATAATAATATGTCAGAAACCCTATGTCCGGAAGCACAATTACTTATGAATGACTTAGATACCACAGAATTCTGCCCGGACAGATTTCCATCCTTGATTTTGTTCTTTTGATCCTTATGCATTAGCCAAGCTTCACGTGTGGCATGACTAGAAGAGAAAAGAACAACATGCCTTGATAACTCAGAGGCCACCGAATGTTGTCCAGATAGATCGTTCTTCTCAATGCTGTTCTTCACCTTGTTCTGGATGACATAGTTTCCATCAATCAAGTGCTCATTTTCTGGTTCCAAATAAGGAACACCCTGAGACTGCATGCAGCCGGATCCTGAGTTTCTAGTTTTCGAGCAATTTTTAGCACTAAAGTTTTGCTTTCTTATATTCTGACTTCCCCAGTTAATGGCGAACCTTGGTGTCGTGGTCAAGCGCAGATTGTCATGCCTATCCAAGTACCTACAGTTATCATTGGGTTGATTCTGTTGCCCAATCTCTGCTCATCCAGCTTATCATATGAGTGTTCTGGGTTAGATTCATGGTCTGACATTGCAAGCATCTCACCAAGGGTTCTGCTTCTGCCCCTATTCCCACTGTCCAGTCCATCTTGAAACTCTTTAGTCATCCTCCATCTTTCTGAGATTTGCTTCTTTGCCTTCTCAGCCATATATGACCTGCCTGGGTAGTAGATTGAAGACCTGTAGCAGTTCTTCACATTAGAGAATTTTTTGGAAGAAAACATCATCATCTCCGACTGTTTTGCATGATTGTCAACACCTCTAAATCCTGAACTACTAGACCATTTCCGCACAGGTTTCATGTCATTGGCCAAGTTCTTTCCTTTATCATGACAGTGCAACCCTCTACCTTTCCTATCACCCAAATGAAAATCACCAAAAGAGGTAGATAAAGGGGAAAACTTTGCAGCATCCTCTGCCTTCCCAGGGTTTGGTTTCAGAACATCAATCTTCCCATAGGAAGGGAATGCTTCAAAATTTGATTTCAATTTGGAACCATAGAAAAATAATCAAGTTCATGAGGCCATGACTCAGTGTTTACACGACCAGAAGCACACGATAACATTGAGTTTGAGAAACCAACACATCCTGATGGCAAGCAAGAGAGGGCAACTTGAACATTGTTTTGAAAATAATCCTCTTTTGAATCCATAATTCCTCCTCCAGATTCTCCATTACAAAATTCTTTTGGAGTTTGAAGCTCCATTTCCATTGGAACACATTTTGCATCGATAAAATTCTCTCTTAGAAATGGCACTTTTAGCTCTGATAATCTCAAGTCCACCTTTCCTTTTTCACCTGACAGATCTGAGCAGCTGTCTCCCTCCAGTAATTCTATCACTTGAAAGACACCCTTTGATTCTTTTTGATCTTCAATGCTAAGCCTAAGTGATGAAAATAAAGAGTCACAATGCCACAATGCCTCTGCTCTGCCTTCAAATAATATAAGAAGTGGTCTCCAAATTACAAAAGAACTGATTCCCCATTGAATGCAGACGATAAGATGATGCCATTTTCAGCATGGACCAATTTGAAAAGCAACAACACATGGAAAATAATTTTAGATTTCTGAAACTTTTCCTCTGTTTTATTCAAAAGTCTCAAATTTAAATAATAGCTTGATTTTTAGAAATGAATGACTATATTTTTATAGTCTATTATTATATATCTTATGAGATTTTAATTTAAAATTTTAAAATTTAAATATTAAGTTGAATGGAAAAAAATTTTTAAAAAAATTATTATATTATTTTATATAATTATTTATCATATATACTAAAAAAATATTTTTTATTTTAAATTATAAAATAAAATATAATTATTTTATTTTTTAACCCACCTCATATAATCATCTTCAGACCTAATAATTTAAATTCATAATTTTTTATTTTCTTTTGAGAGAGATTATTAATACATGATTTAAAACATTTGCCTAAAAAACAATCTTGACTGTTATCACGAGAATGAATGCGTTAAGCCAACGATCATGTCATGTTCATTAGTATGATAAAATTTTTTTGGCAAGTTAATTAATTTAATGAAATTTTGATTTTTTGGGGTGAAGTTTAATGATAATTTGAGGAAGAATTGAGAAATCTTTGGCAATGGGGTCAATCGTCAACTTAGGGACAGCAAAATCGTGAAAGATTGCTCTTTTTAAGATGAAAGTCAGGAACTTTCTGGAGCTGTGGTGCCAAGCCAAACACCTGTCAAGAGTGTTTTAATTTATTTTCCCCATACTTATTTGATTTTATCACATTCTGATTCCGATCAGGTTTAGCTCCATCACTATATATCAAACTAACCCATCTACCTTAAGCACTCACCGGCTGTACTAGAAGCAATCACTCACTCACTTCAGAGAAAATGGCTTTCGGAGGTCTGTGTCAAGGCTGCTGTCGGTGCCCCAGATGTTCTTGGAGACTGTAAGCCTTCTTTCACCTTCTCTCATTGCTACTTGTATGAATTTTTGTTTGCATGATTGAGGGTTTCGGTTCCCCGGTCCGTTCTCACACAGGGTTCTCCTCACCTTGGAGGAGAAGAAAATCCCCTATAAGATGCACCTCATCAATGTCAGTGACAAACCCCAATGGTATGTAATTGGATACATAGACTTGTGTTTCTAGAGATAATTGAGTACGGTTATAAGGTTTATTTGGAGAAGGTTTGGGCAAATGGGTTGTTGTGGTTGATTAATAGGTTCTTGGAGATAAGTCCAGAAGGAAAGGTGCCTGTGGTGAAGTTTGATGACAAATGGGTGCCTGACTCTGATGTTATTGTTGGAATTCTTGAAGAGAAGTACCCTGAGCCTTCTCTCGTCACTCCACCTGAATTTGCCTCTCTGTATGCGCCTCTCTCCTCAAACACCTATACATATTGTCTCCCATTTCCCGCTTCCTTCCTCCCTTTGACTAATCTGTGTTACCTTTGCTGCGTTATTTATTATTTTTTTGGTTGACTTAAAGTACAGTAAAATGTCAATTTTTGAGCCTTTTGTGTCTTTAATGATGCAGTAGAAAGCACTGGTTTTTTGTATGTTGTTGTGCTTTCTTATAACATATGTTCATCCCTTTGCTGTGCCTGCCTATGAGCTGGGTCTGCAAATGACTGATAACCTTGATTTTTCTTTCTTCCCTTTTCAGTGGAATGTGATGTCGAGATTATTGTCTTTGTGTGGTTTTTGTTTCCCTGTGATTGGCCTATGTGACTTTATTGGCTTATGTTTTAGGGAGAAAGTTCTCAACTTTTGGTCCAAAAACATGCATTGCTTTTGTTCCTAGAATCATTTATTTGCTAAAAGAAGCGTCCCTGGAGGATTGTTCTCTGAATCATTTCTATTCGATTTCTCATTTACTATTCAGTTTGTGTAATGCAGAGGATCAAAAATATTTGGAGCTTTTGTTAAGTTTGTCAAGAGCAAGGAACCCAACGATGGGTCTGAGCAGGCTTTGCTAGATGAACTGAAGGCCTTGGATGATCATCTCAAGGGACATGTAAGTGACTATAAATTTGAAGCAGCAAAACTGTTGGTTGACACTTCGAGTTCAT